ATTCAAACTGATTTCATAATCTTTGCCAATCGGAAGCTTGCGATCAAATCTTCTTATTGTTAATGACGGTAACTTAGCAAATTGTTTCTGTAACATTAACAAGCTAACAGGTTATTGTTCTGTTCGTTGTGTACATGTTCTGGTTTACATTTAGCAATAGCAGCTTTCAACTTAAGTTCAGTTCAGTTAATCAGTTTTTCATGATACTCATCACTCTTAATAATTTTGGTTTCAATTTCGTTAACATCTGTAATTTGACTTTGAATTTCAGAATCTATTTTGTTTAATCTTTTTTAATTTCATATTTATCTATTCTGAAAGTTCTTCCAACTCTTCTTCTCCTGTTTCATTTTCTGAAATTTGATTTTAGAAATTCGAATAATTAATTTCTAATTTTTTAGAACTACTCTTAGCTTTAGTTCATTTAGCTTTCGCTATTTCCATTTCAAAATCAATTTCGAACATTCTTTCAAATTAACTGGATATCTTAATTTAACTAAATTTCTCTTACAATTTTAATTACATCAAGAAAAGGAGTATAAGTAAATTGCAATATAAAGATTCATTTCTTAACAAAAAAGAATATTAAATCTTGCCTTGTGGCAGATTATTAATGTTACTTGTTTATTCCAAAGGTAGCAGCACATCAAGACTTTTACATTACACTGCCAGGCAGGAAAATACCTTGAAGATAACACCATATTCTGTACAACGTGTTTCAAAAAGACTATATGCATTTCGAATGCATATATTTATTAAACTGCATGGCATTCGAATATGAAACACACATATGTACGAACCTCTCAAGTTCAGATTACAGATGTTCAATATGTCCTTCATCAGCGACATGAACAATATCACATCGCTATTCAAATTCCTCCCATACTTGGGCAAGCATGTCCGTCATCACTGATGCTATGACAGTACGGATCCGGTTCTTCACCTCTTCCAGGTTCCGTGGGAGTGGTGGTACATAAACGTTGTCTTCAGTGAAACCCCGCGGGAAGAAGTCACAGGGTGTCAAATCCGGTGACCGTGGAGGCCGGCTGAGACATGCTTGCTAAGTCGCCAGCTCCTTGACGACCAATCCAACGGTTCGGTAGAGTTTCATTCAAATAATTGCGCACTTGGCGACACCAGTGAGGGGAGGGCCTGTCTTGTTGAAAAAGGAAGTGGTCTTCGTGCAGCCTCGGAAACAACCAGTTTCGTAACATAGCGAGATACTGCTGACTGTTAACTGTGTTTCCATCAAAGAAGAATAGGCCATAAACAGATGATTGGGATATCACACAAAGCACATTGATTTGGGGTGAATCTTGTACATGTCTTAATATCATTTAAGAAATAAATATGGTGTAAGATACCTGTGAAATGTTATTAGATTGTGATTTTAATAGGGCTTTTTTAACAAATATTATTAAAAAAGTAAGTAAAATTTTATAGTAGCCATGTAAATTTATAATGACTAAGGGTATCTAACTATCTAATTTAATTATTTGTAACTAACTGCTCATCCTTAAAAGTTGTCTCTGCATATTAAAGTGGGTTATTGCCTTTCATTAATCCTTACCGTGATCACAAGATATTGCACAAAAATTAAAAAACTGATGTAAAACTTATTCTTTGCATGTAGTGAGACTTAAAATAGTACATAACAACATATCTCCTCTGGTGCTTTAGTAGTTTTTTGGAACCTTAAACCATATTAACTGGGTTACAACCCCAGGAAATCGACACTAACTGCATCAGACAGACAGGGCACAACTAATTTTCAAAACTTGCCAACTGTGCCTACATCAGGCTTTCAGGGTTGATCTGATCAGCAGGTATCTCTACAGGCAAGCAGAAGCAGTGGCAACAGCCAATCTTATGATACAGATCAAGCTGATTATGATTTTACTTTTCATTTTAACATATGCCATTTGAAATAAAATCTCTCTGCTGTTTACTTAACCTGCCATGCATAGTGCAAATGGAATAAAGAAAAATCAAATAAGCGTGTAAAATGCACAGATCTTTCAATTTATAGTATAAAGTTATAGAGTTATAGTAATTCAACTATAAGTCAAAAGTCGTTAATCCGGACTCGTCGGGACTTCGGCGATTCCGGATTATTGATTTTTCCGGATTATAGATCATCAGTTTAAATCTGGTAAGATGGCATGCAGAAATTATAAAATTAAAAATATGAAACCGTAATTTATGAAAAAAAAAAAAATTATGATCTAAAGGTTATCAAAAAAAAAATAAAAAAAAAAAAAAAAAAAAAAAAAAAAGCAGCTTAATATTTATTTGTTTACTTTATTAAACATTTCTTTTAGTAAGTGTTTAAGTTGCATGTGTAATACATACATTCTATATAAACAGAAATTAGTTATAAAATTGTTCAAGTCCTGTAATAACTAATTTGAATCGAAATTTTGTTTTCGTGATATTTATAATAAGGAATTTGATTTAAATCATATGAAAGACGGAGTACATCGAGATGAAATACTACATTTAATAAGGAATTATAAGCCAAATAAAATAAAAACATCTGCCCTGAAGATAAGGATAGTGCTGACAGATCAACTTCCAATTCATTGCACACCCCTTAAAGATTAAAGATAAACAAAGTTTAGATAAATAAACGTTAAAGTTTAGATAAATAAAGGATATGCCTTTATCCATTTTTTGCAGCAATTCCACTTTTTGTTTAATGAACTTCGAAACATACTTTCGCTTTGTAGATCCTTTACATATTAATAAATATATATTAGAAATTCTATTTCACATAATCGAAAGTTCAAGCTTACTTTTATAAAATTGCTCTAATAGTCTGCAAAAAATAATAAGCCGGATCCAATTTGAAGATTAAGGAACAACGCAATGTGCAACATTAACTGAAATAGATAATTTTAGCTTAGCTTATACTGTCCATTGTACATTAAACGCGCACTCGTAAACATATTCGCAGCGCAAAGGTCTTACGCGCATGCGTCAATGCGACGCATGCACAGAAAGTTTGTAGCTTTGAGGTCCGATTATAGATCATTATCGGATTAAGACTTTTGACTAAATAAAATTTATATGCTAAAATTTAAAAAGAATGTTAAAATTTGATATAATATATTAATTTGATCTTACTATGATAAATGTTAATCTTACTGATCTGCTTTATGCTTAGGATAGTATTACATAAGTGAAGTTTAGGCATAGATAATATCTTTAATTGAATTTATTCAGTTCCCATTTACTGATAGGTGCTTAATTTTTTTCATTAATGGTCTCTAAAAGTCCTTAAAAATACTTAATTTTCATGTGCAGAAATCTGTATGAGCCCTAAGGTGTTCATTCACTGCCTTAACAACCAAATTTACTCCAGTATTTGATTCTGGAATGTCTCAGGTCTCACGAAATTGTGGACTTGATCTCCTTGTCAGAGAATTGAGATAAGCTACAGCAATAACAGAAGTAAAACTGATTAAGTAAACGTGCATTACTGTTAGTTAAAAAATTATGTAAGGACTTTATGGGTATGCCACTGCAGGGTTTTTTAAAAAAAATGTATTCACTCTTCGAATGACGAGAAAAACTTTATTTATGAACATGCAGTGAAATGGAAGGGCTTTGAATATAGAAGATAAATATAATAAAGGAATCATGTTTGTGAATGTTTAAATTGATGACTATCATTGTCCAGAAATCACTGGTGATGCCCACCAAGGGATTTGCAAACGTCACAAAACAGGTCATTAGGAATATCATGACATTGTCTTTCAATTTCCAATTTCAGTGCATCAATTGTTTTTGGTTTGGTGCGATAAACTTTCTCTTTGAGATATCCCCACAAAAAGAAGTCTATGGGCATGAGGTCTGGGGAATGGGCAAGGTATTCAGTGGTACCCCTTTGTGCAATCTATCTGTCTGCAAAAGCTGCATTGAAGTGAGCTCGTACGTTGTGATGGTAGTGAGAAGGTGCTCCATCTTGCTGAAAGTAAATCTCGTGGCCATCACCAAACATCTCTGAAATTTGTGGACTGACAAACTCCTAAAGCAAGTTGAGATAAGTCTCAACAGTGACAGTTCCATTAAACAAATGGTCCTATGATGCCCAATGCAGATATCTCAGCCACACTGTTACTCCTGGTAAGTTTACATGGTGTTCAAGTGTTACATGAGGATTTACAGGACCCCAGTATGTGTAGTTATGGCGATTAATGGAGCCATTTAATTTAAAGGATGCCTCATCACTCCACACAATTTTATTTGAAAACCCCGCATCTTCTGCACATTTTGCCAGTATCATTCACAGAATTTAACTCTTCGTTCTGGATCATCCTTGTTAATAGCATGGATTAGTGTTGGAATGTAGCATTTCCATTGCAGATTTCTTGTGCCCGTGGATGTCCGTTGTCGTCCAGAATGTTTCTTGTTGACATTCGGGACAGTTCCATCTGCTTCAGACTTGTCTCTGATGTGAGCAATAGTACGGCGCGTTGGTGGCAGTTTTGCATATTCCCTTCTATATTGTCCACTTCAATGGCGTTTTCGGTCTTCTACTAACATTTCAGCACAAACTAAACTAAGCTAAGAGGGACAAACTACAAACTAAACTGTTCTAAGCTAAGTTGATTTCCTGCCATGCTGGGATAAATTAATTACTCCTGCAGTTAAAAAAGGCAGCATGTTAGCGACAGTTAAAGTGCGAGTACATTTTTTTGAGACACCTTGTATTTAAATAAGTGCCATTTAACAAGTGATGTGGGTAAATATAATGTTTTCATTACCTTCATTTTATAAATTTTGGAGTTTTTATTTAAGAAATGCTCATGAATTATTTACAAGTACGTTTAGAAGCAATATACTGAAATTTTATTTTTCAACAAAGTTCCATATTCTAGGCCCCCCCCCCTTTTTTTTTTTTTTTTTTTTTTTGTTTGTTTGTTTGTTTGTTTGTTTGGAGTGAATTATTTTTTATTTAATTGTGTCCCATGTTTTTCATGATCAAGAGTTTAATTTCATATATATTCTTATCCATATAGAATCCTATAGCTTCTGCTGATGGAGAAAAAGATGCAAGTGGAAAACAGAAAAAGGACGTTCCAGTTGTCTCTCTGAAAGTTTTGACTAATGGTATGTGCAGAATCTCAACAGATAAAAAAATAGACATTTCATGGTTTTGTTTAAAATTAAATGCTTGTGAAGTTATTTAATTTTAGAAGAAAAAAGAGAAAAAGCATTTGATTCTGTTATGTATTGAGTTGTATTATAATTGAAAGATATGCAATTTTTTTTTAAACTCAGAATAATTTTTGTGCGGTTACCTTTTCTGCATCGAGAATGCTCAGAAATCGGCTGACAATTTTGGTGATTTTCTATTGATTTTAGATATTCCTGCTTGTGCTTCAGCAGAAATATGCAGCTGGACATTGTCTTAGAACAAAAACCATTGTTTCTCAAGCAAATCCTTCCTATGTCTGTGCGCAAATGTACTTCTAAGATATTTGCAAAAGAGTGCTGTATATGATAATAAGCGGTAGTAATTGATAACCATGTAAACAAAAAATGCTCATTTTAATCCTAGATTCATCTGAAACCTTGATTACCAAATCAAGTTGATGAATCAAGATTAGCAATTAAGATTTTCTCAATCAAGTCCCTAAATATCACTTAACATACTAATTCACAATCATTTACAAATTATGACTTCATCTTAATCTTGGAACTTAACTCCTAAATACTTATTCTTAATCTTGGTACTCCTTAATACTTATTAAAGTCAATATTTAGTCAGAAACAGAGTCTTAAAGCTTTTAAATCAGCCTTTCTTGGTTTTTTAAAAAAATCATATCTTCTGTTTAGTAGTGTTTCTGTAATTGCATTGAAAATTGCTTTAATCTGAAATGTAAACTGAAATTCTTTCTAATATAGAAGTGGAAAAAAAGAGATTTTAATTCATATTCTAACAGAGAAATCTGACAAGCAGAAATTCTGTTTGTTCTGTTTCAGATAAATTTTTCTGTATTTTTAATATTATTAAAATTCTGAGTAATGAACATGTCAGTGTTAAAAATCTAATTTTTAACACTAACGTTTTCTTTATGATCCCAAAGAAATAAATTACATTTTTAATTATAATAAATTATAATTATAAATTTCGAGCTGATTCTAAAGTTGGGCACAATAAATAAAGCTCTTTTCATGTAGAAAATAGTTCCCAAGTCAGGTATCTATCTTTCTTCAACTTCTCCAGTAATGCACTTTCTTAATGCTTATTTCATTTCTTGAAAACTGACAGATGCTTAACTGCATCTTTCATTTTAAATCTGACTCAGGACATAAAAAGTATGCTTCAACGAAATTTATCATTACAGCTATAAAACCTGAAGGATGTTTAACTACTCAGTTCAAAACAAATTAGTGACACAGTAACTTGATGAAAAATTAACTAGGATTTCTTGTGAATTAGGATTCTTATTAACTAGGATTCTTATTTATTAATAAATTCCAACAGAAAACTGACTTGGTTTCCAAATGGGAAATGCAAATTACATAGTCTTAAGTTTTTTGGCCATGTACGTTCTCCCAGCAAAGGAGCTGCACTGGTGGACAATACCAAGGAAGGCTGACAGTAGCGGTGATAGCAACCACAAAATGCAAAGAAATGAAATGTGGAAATTAATATAAGTGTAATATACAGCAAGACGGGTTGTGTGTATGCAAATTTTTGATTGCCAAAGTGCTTTGTCACATGATAGTTCTGATAAGGGATGTAAAGGATTTTGTGCACATTGACCATTGTTGTTCAGAAGCAAAATTTAATGGGAAAGAATCATTTGATGAACTAAGTTTTCATTTTGTCTTCCCAACATTACTTAGAAGATTTTACTTGTAGGAGTATTATTGGCAAGATTAAGGGCGAAAAATAACAGATGTTGATAGAGAGTTTGATGTCAGCCACAGTGTTGGTTCAAGCCTTGGAAATGATTTCAAACAAATTGTAAATGTAGCAGACGTCACACGGTTGGTCGTGTTCACAGAAGATAGGTACTTAGTGCTGTCGACAAAAAGGAACTGGCACAGCACAGCTACTGAGTTATGAAATCAGTTACTTCAGTCAGCGAATGTCCCGAAAAACTGTATCCTGAAATCAAGGAGGACTACACGTTCGCCATCCTGTTATGTGCATTCCGTTGTCTAGATGTCACCGTTCCACCAGTTTGCAATGTTGTGATCAGTATCACAATTGGAGGGAGGACAACTGGACTTGTGTAATATTCTCAAATGAAAGTGGGTTCAATTTCTTGTCTGACTGTGGATGACAACTGATGTGACATGAAAGTGGTACTGCACATAGTCTAGCAAACATGCTTGAAAGAAACCGATATACACTGTGCGTAGTGCCATGGTATGGGCTGGGGGGATCATGATCAACAGCAATACATCACTCTCTGTGCTTCCGTTTCTTAGATAGCTTTTAGTTATTTCTAGGGGAAAACTGCAAAAAACGTTGCATGCATTGTTATGTACTTATATGTTATGTTATAAAATAATTATTTGCAGTCTTTTCAAGAATTACGATTAAGAGTAATAATTTAAGTAATCTGGTTTTGGGTGTATTTTAAATACATTATGTGAAATATCTTAAAACATGCATGAAAGAGAATTTCTGAAATTCTTAAGTAGTGTGAAAAACTTAGTAGCTAGAAATTCAGAATGCCAAAGAATACAAAATTTGTTGAAAATTCATAAATTTTTCATATTAAATAGGCTTTTAAATGGGCTTTTGTTTAGTTACTAAATCGAAAACAGTAGATAATGTATTTAAATAAAAGCAATACAAGTCAAGAGTATTCCATGCAAAAGAAATTTCGAAAAAAAAAAAATAAATGTTTTTCAAACACATGTAGTTGGGAAAATACAGGAGATGCTTTGTTAAAAAAAAATAAAATAAAGAATTTATCTATATAAAACATATAACTTCTGTTTTGTAGTACACACCAAATTTTACTTTTGCATTACTTAATAAAAACAGTTTCGGACTTCAGACATTCTGAATGATTTTACATTCATGAATAAAATTGCTGAATACTAGAAATTCACTCAGCATTAAAATTCTGAGGAACAGGACTGATCCACCAGCGGGCGAGTGGTAATAGCTGCTGGACACAGGTGGTTTGGTCTGGTTTCGAGCCCTGCAAAACAGGCTGGCAGCGTGGGCGTTTTCGTGGTTTTCCCCATGCGTAGCAGGGATATGAACCACTTTCTTTTAAAAAGACCTCCACAGAGCATCCCTCCCTTTCTGTGTAGTGACTAAGGGCAGAGCACGTAATAAGTAAAAAAAGAAACAGTACCGAACAGTCTTCAGAACATAGTACCAGGGAAGTCAGTTTGGCAAGAGTGATTGGACCTGAACCTTTCTTCCATCCATTCTGTGTTCAAAACCTTTAATGCTTCAGTAGGCAATTCTTGGCTGAGATAAAACAACCTCTCTAATAATGCCATCCACTAATGTCCACTAATATCAGCATCACAATTAAAACTTAATTAAGTTTAATTGTGTAAATTAAGTAAGTAATTTACAAAGTAAGTAGGAGGAAAAATCAGAAATGAGCTGTTGATCATAAAACCTGTGACGTATAGGACTCTTGATTTACGTATTCCTTGTTACTGGGGTCTATGCATTGCTCTCTATCGATTAAAATTTTAACTATTTTTTTTCTTTACAAAAAACAAAACAAAACAAAATCCCCCTTTTTGAGTATAACTTTTTCGCAAAAGAAGCTCAGTTCTACCAATTCTTTCAATTTTTATGAATTTTTAAAATATTTACAGACTTAAGAGACACCCTGCATTTTTTATCTTTGATGATATCTTTGATGATAAACTAAAATTCTGAGTTGGCAAACCTGGTCGCCAGGCCCACGCCAAGCCTAATTGGCACCGTTATGCAAGTGTCTAGCGAGCGCCTTTATACAGTGGCACCATTTGCTTATGGTTAACATTTAAAACGAAGCATTATGAACATAATAATATAAAACAAAAAAATTAAATTTTATCTTTTAATTTGTCTAAATTTGTTTAAATATGCAAACATTTTGTGCTTTGTTAAAACCCACACTCAGACATATTTATTGAAAAATTATACATACATTCATGTTATAAAAAGCCATCTAACCGGTGTAGTGGTTAGCGTTGCTGACTGCGGTGCCGAAGGGCCCGGGTTTGAATCTCGGAGAAGGCATGGATGTTTGTAAATGTATAATGTCTGTGCCCCGTGGGGTTACTCTAAATATGCGCTGCGAAAGTCCTCCTGAGAGGTTGGCGGTAGAGGTAGAGGGGAGGGAGACGCTCGGATCCGTCCCTCCAGAATGCTCTTCATCAAAATTGGGGGCGAAACTGAGCTAAATCGTAATGTCGCTTGTAAGGTGCTCAAGGCTGTTGCCAACAACAGGCGTATCTTGCACTCCTTTCTGTGGTTCCAGTAACAAGTTATTCGAAAGAAATAATAATTTTTAAAGCGTATAGAAATAATCACAGAATTTGACTCTATCATGTCGGTATATATTAATAAAATTCAAACTAGAAAAATTATGCTTCGTTGCCTTGAAGATAAAATTCAAAATGAAATTTCTTATTAAGGAATAATATAAAGCAAATTATTTTAAATAAGGTCAAACAGGCAAAGTATTTTTCTATTTTACTTGATTGTACCCCTGATGCCAGCCATCAAGAGCAGTTATTAATTTGTATGAGGTATCTTAATTTAGAAAGTACAGACATGAGTATTGAAGAAAGGCTTTTAGTATTTTGTATTTCAGTAGATACGACCGGTGAATAAAGAACAGCGTTCTTATTAAAGACTTTGAGGAAAATGGTTTAGATATTAGCAATTTACACAGCCAACAATACCACAATGGTTCAAAGATGAGAGGTAAACAGTTTTTGAATAATTATGTTCAAATCGTTGATTTTCCAAAATTAAAAAATTAACCTAAGTTTAACATAATATGTAACTGCACTTACCTTTTTTATGTAGAAAAACAATAATGATAAGCAGTCACAAAAAAAGATAAATGTTGCAACAAATTACTACTCTTGCAACAGTAGAACAAAAATAAAGATTAAGCAATTTGCCGAATGCGTCTTACATACCCATCGGCATCACGTATTTTCACGTTCAAATAAGACAGAAGGGAACACTAGAGATGAACTCCTGCCCTGGTTATAACTTTCGGTCAAATAAGACAGTGTGCTAGGAGGAAAAGCACTCAGACCAGGCTAGCTCGAGGCTTCCTTAGCACTGTTAGACGCCCCAACCCCTAGAGGTGATCCAAGAGGCCGCTGAGCTATCGATCAAGCCGACGAGTTAATACTAAGCTGAGTCGACAGGAATACCCAACAACTCACATTTCATGTCCCCGTTATGGATGGATGGTAAAAACATCTGCCATCAACAGGGGCCCCAACGCCAGACAACAGAATGAAGTCACTTAAACGCTGTCAAAAAGGCTGGGCCACCAATCCGGCCTGCTAACACTACATTATGGTATACAGATGTCGGCTTTAGGTGCCCCCAGTGGGAAATCATGGAAGGATATGAATATGCAGTTTTGAGGCTCCAGACGCTTACTGGAAACCTCAAGCAGTTTAAAGGCTCGCTGAATTCGAAAGCTCCACCGAGGGGGATGTTCCGCTTCAGACAACCATGAATATATGACTATATAGCTGAACCACAACTAATGGAATGGACGAGAATGCCATATGGTCCCTGCCAAGTCTGAAACAGCCATCGCTAGCGATGACTCCAGTTCTGTGGAGACTGATTTTAGACACCCGTGGTCGAGACTGCCAAGTTACAGATCGTAATCAGTAGCTTCCCAGGTTTTACCTGAGTGGATTCCCGGAGGGGCATTCAAATAAGACAAGAAATTTCTTGTTCAAACAGGCAGCGAGCCGAACTGCTTGTTTTAATGATTGCCTGGCATCTTTTTAACTTGCTGCCGTCACACAACCTTGCATCTACTGTCAGCAAAGGCCTGCTGGTTACATATTATTAAACCCCATATTAAGCCAAAGGAAAAATTGTGGATTCATTAAAAACAATTTATTGTCAAAAAATCACGATTTCTTATAAAACTTGTTTACTGGTCTAAGGATGAAAAAAACCTGTTTCTGTGTAATTGAGTCATTGCTGAATAGATAGTGTTCTCTGCCAGTCTGTCTTTTATACTTACTTAGACTTGAAATTTTTTGATAAAATCGTTGAGAGTTATTGAAATTGGTGTCAATAAGATCTCATTTTTAGAACTCATTTTTACTTCCTTGTACAAAGTAAAAAGGAAGTATTGTAATCACAAAAAATTTCAGGCATCATATTTCAACGAAAATATACATTTTCACCGCTATTTAATGCAATTTAATGATGTTTTTGTGCGACATCTGTACGTAAGGACAGAATAAAGGATTCTTTTTCTCCAAAAAAATTATAAAACTGATTTAAAATGAACTCTGAAGAGAATTTTTCATGGCTTCTGTGCGTATGTATCTCACATAATTAAAAAATGAGTAGCCTCAGAACATTGAAATGTTATATATAAGGCTGCTATAACATGTAGATGTGCACCTCATATTTTGGTTGCAATCGGCCTCACCAAAAGCATATAAATATATGTATATGTATCAAATCTGTAACTCGGCTCAGTGATCTCGGTTTCTTTATTCTTATATGTTTGCAAATTGCACAATTTTTTTTTTCTTTAAAAATGATTGAATTATGTTGTTCTTATCTTCTTGTTAAGGTTTTTATGCCTTTAGTAAATCTGCATGCGATATTTGTAGAATTATCAACAATTTAAAAGTTGTTTAAGTGCAGCTAAGCCTAATTATTTTTGCCATGGTGGCCATAATTTATTACATTTGAAATTTAGCAGAATAGCTGATTTGTTGCCAATCTAAAGAAACTAAGCTTCACAACAACAAAGATAACGCCTGCTTTTATTATTGTGAATTAAATCATGCTTAATCCATTCTGGAATTTATTTACTAAATATGACTAAATAAGTTTTATCTAGTTTTGCCTTGTCACAAAGTGAGAACTAAATTAATTGAATGAGAAATACTGAATCGTCTGTGAAAAACTGTTTCTTTCTTTCTTTCTTTTTTTTTTTTTTTTTTTTTTTTTTTTTTTGTTTTGTTTTGTTTGTTTGTTTGTTTAATTTCTTTTATACATCACTTTGGTGTACACATCAGATTTTTAGATTTTCAAAACCTGCCCTATTCTGCAAGATTTTGCCAAATATAGCAAATAAATTTTAAAATGTGATTTCTTATGTTTTATTTGGCATTTATGAAATTTCTTTTTATGTACACAAAATGTAGCAGAGTGATTTACAATAAAACACCTAAATGAATAATTATTGTGCACAAATTTTAAAAAATGTATATGTACAAAAAAATTAAAATAAAACAAGTATTACATAAATAATATAACATAAAACAAAAAATTAATAAATTTTCAGTTAAAAAACTGAACCTTTTTTCACTATTTCAGTGGGAAAAAAAAGGTTTTTTTTAATTGGTTATGGATGCAAACTAATGAAGATTTTATATTGCTTAATTTTTAGATTGAATTAGCATGTCTCTTTCTGTCATCATATTTATTCAACATGTGTAACATATTTTTTATTTTGCTGTGGTGTATTTATTAACTATAATAACTATTTACTGTGTTTTTTACTGTGACTGTGTTTTACTTTTACTGTAGAATTTGTCTCTTTATGATATTTGTTTTTGAAGGTAGTATTTTTTTCCAGGGACAAATGGTGTAGCTGTATACATTCCTCCATGTTCATCAGCCAACACAGGGAACAATGCATACTCCACTTTACCTAAAACTGTGCAATCACCAGCCGTACGTTATGTTACAGACATGCAGCAAAACTCCCACAGTAATTCCTTCTCTTCTTTTCCAAATGTCCCTATGTTACCAACACCACCAGTTTTTAGACCTTTCTTTCCTAATTATATGTTTATGCCACCTCCATGTCAATTTCCATCCACTTTTGGAGGTATACCAGCGCAGAATTCATTGGAGATGCGCTTTCCTACTTCAACACCAGTCCCATTTCCACAGGTGCAGCAGAACATGATACCTCAAGCAAATGCCTTGTTTGCTTCTTCATTGATGAATTATCGTCCACCTAATTTACTTGGCCAGATTTCAGGATTAGGAGCAACCTCTTCACCACTGCAGTTTCCAGTATCTTCCCATTCACCAGTTTCAAGTTCTGTACCATTGCTATTTCCTGGTGGCGTAAATAACACCAACATCAATCCTTTTCTAAATCCTCAGAGAAATTTTGCTCAACAAGGAAATCCATCACTTCCTTTACCTGCTGCACCTCCAGTCAAATCTCTACAGTGGTTTCAAGGTCATTCCATAAGAAAAACAAAATGATGGATCATGTTTTATTATACTCTGATGAATGTTCAAATATTCATGCTTAACAAGTTCACCATCTACATTATTGTGCCAACTTTTATTTGTTTGTTTGTTTCAGCAGCAAAATGCTGTAAGTTTTACGCAGTATGTATTCTGTGTTTAATATTAGTTCCTAGTTTTACAGCCAAAAATAAAACTTTTCATGTGTGTTTTTATGTAAATAGTGTTGCAGATTATATATGAAGTGTTAACAAGTTTCATAAATTGTCTAAAGCAATGGAACTAAAGTGAGTGTGTCATTTAATATGACCAGATTTTTTTTTACGGGTATTCTTGTTTTTGTGTTATTTTAAGTAGTTATAATTATGTGTTTGTATGTTAAGTTTGACATAAGCATAGTGCAACAGAAGCTAGGTAACTTCTTAAATCTGCTCTCAATTTCTTCTGTACTTGGTATTATATGTTTTATTGTAAATGTCGTAAAATGTTTCAGCATAATATAACTTGTATTCATTATATATGTTGAAGTGCCAAAATATAAGGCACAGTGTTATTGGCATGTAATTCTTCTATCTGAATAAATGTGGCTATTCATTGTGATACTTAATCAACAAGTTGCTAGAATTGTTACAGTGATATGTTAATGACTATTTATAATGCAGTCATTTTATTGGATGCCATTTGCAAGACAGTTAATGAAGTTTTCAGTGATTGATAGGGGTTTTTAGTAGGAGTTATGAGGGTTGATAACTGAGCCAATTCTGTATAACCTTATGCATTGTAAAAGCATGCACTATCCTACTGAAACAAACCATCTCCCTGCCATGGAAACTTGCAAATATGGAATGAGATCTGACTTTCTTAAAAGCTGATGATATATATTAGTTGTATGTGAGGAAGATACCACTTGCAGTGGTGCTTTTTTGCATAGGGAAATCAGAGTTCTTCCAACACAGCCATGTGGTAAAATTCATAGTTCAATGATGATTGGCTTCCCACAGAAAGGCATTATAATGTCACAGAAACAACAGTGATACCTGACAAATACCAAATCTTGTGGAATGCTGTATTCACAAGTAGTGATTAGCAACACCATTGAATTTAAATGTGATTTAATGTAACTTTTACTTGTTATCAACATGAGGACATCTACTCTTATGACATTCCACTGATATTTGATAGAATTTATATATTTCTGGATATTCTTTCCATTGTTGTCCATAAAGATACAATAATATCTGCTGTCTCAGAGATAAAATTGCTTATCCTATGTTAGTTCGAATGCTGATAATTTTTTTTTCCATATCTCTAAACTCTGAATCTGACATTGAAGCACTACTGCAGATTCAAAATTATTCCTACATTTAGCATTCAACTGAAAACTATTTTGGGGAGGTTGGTAATAGCAGTCATAAGCTTAATATAAAGTTATACCTAATATTTTGACATTTCAGATTATGTATATACATGTTTCATATTCTCTTTTATTGTATTTTATTTTATGTAAATACATAAATGAATATGCTCGGTCATTGTTTTGTTGTTATATTTTTAGTTTACTGAGATTTGTAAATATTCGACTTTTGAAGTATCAGTATGAAGTTTAAAAATAAAATATGCATCTGTAATTTAGTATAATAGTTTGACCTTTGTTTACTTTATGAAAAGCATCAAGTTCTAATTTTTGGTCACATTAAAAAAATTGCTATTTCTAGGAAAGGTTTATGCATGCATTTTATCTTGCAGAATGTTCTTTTCAAATATACTTCAGGTTATTGCAAAATGTTTATTCTTGCTGTGTTGTATTTTGGTTATTTTGTGTTATTGAATTCCATAGTTATTTATACATGCATACACTCATTAATACACATTAAATAGCTGCCAATTTTTGCCCATATGAGTGTGAGTCTATAAGTGCAGAGCATTTATTTTAGTATTTAGAACTAAAGACTATTGAGTAATAACTTATTCAGTAGTGCATGCATGCATAATGCAAATAAATAAGCGAGTAGAATAAAGCATTTTGAACAAATTAGAAAACATTTGCAACAAAACAGATACTTAGTTAATGCATAGTCTGTAGTTCTTAGTTATTTGCAATCTGTTTGTTTTTCTCAAGGAGGAAGGTTAGTAATCATTCATACTTGCTAAGAAAATGAAAGATTTATTCTCCCACTCCCTATAGCAGACCTGATTACTGCCTATGTTCACAATGTTTATTGATATAAAGCTATATCATGTCAATAAAAAATATGTAGTAAATAAAAAAAATCATATAAAATGAATGTAAGGGGAAAACATGCAAACATTATATTTTTAAATCAATATTTTTTTAATATATAATTTTTTTCAGAAACTACCAAAACCAAAAAAGAACTAAAAAAGTCTTCTGAAGTAAATTGCCTTGAAATGTTTTGCACTCAACAACAAATTGTAATTTTACCTGGTTTCATAACTTTGTTCTTTTATCAAATCTAAGAATTAGAAAAATGATGGTTATTCTGCCAAAATTTTGTTTTTATGATCATGGCCGCTGTTATTTATAAATTGATCTTGTTTTAATAAGGAAACATATACAGTCGGATGTAAAGATATAAAATAATAATATAACTTTAATAGAATTCAATCAAACATGTGCATCCAATCAAACATGCGCACTTTTCTGATAGTATTGTAAAAGAATAATCATTATGTGTACAAAAAAAAATATGTGGGCAGAGGATTGTATGTGTATTGATAATCACTAACATGAACAAGTTCAAGATGAATCTTACAAAAATGCTAGCATAATTTTCTCTATTAAAATTAATGTGCAATGAATGTAGAAATTATCATAGAAATTCTTCTACATTATAGATTATTTTTACACATTTGTTCACAGTATGTCACATTTGTATTGATGCTCAAAGTCCAGTATTTCCAGGTGAAATTTGTTTTGCTCATCTGAATATGCACTTATGTTTTCTTTGAATTTGTTATGAAGGTGTAAAGGAATTGTACTTTGAAGAATGTGCTAGACTATTTTTCCCATTCCATGTGGTCTTTCGTGTTACAAAAGAAAGCAACAAAGCTTCCTTTTTGAGCATAATTTGTTTATTTGAGAATTCCTTAGATTTTATGATTTTTTTTGTGGGAGAAAGAAAATAGCTGCAGATAGTCTAAAGAATTTTTTGGAGTGTATCTAGAGTGTTGATTAATAATTGATTCTTTATGCCTAATTTGATATGCAGCAGTAATATAGCTCCTTCTGGGGATCCAGTATGTACTTCCATGTGACGTTATGAATTATTAATGAAAAACTCAGTTTATTATGGCCTATTCTTTCCTGTCATAATTCTTTTGAGATCTTTGTTATCCTTAAGATTTTGTGTAACCTGCTTAAAGAACCATCAAGAATGCTGTCACATTAACAACAGTGATCAATAAGTTACATTAAAAATATGTAATAATAAAAGTTTGGAAGGAAAATTACATATTATCAGTTTCATCCTTAATTTCTTCATCATATCATTGATAAATTTGCTGCAAAGCAAAATAAGTCTGTTGAGTGCTTGAAACATTGATAAGGTAACCTTCTCCCAGAAAATTTCTGTAGACTTTTCTGATAGTAATGTGAATGAGTAGATTGCATCACAGTGTGATCATGCCTTTCTCAACTGAAAATCATCCTATTTTTATATTGAAATAAGCAAGGGTTTATTGCAAAACAAAAGTTTATAAAATTAAAGCTATTGGAATACCACTTTTACGTGTGCTATGCTAGTATATAAAACCACTAGCATTCCACTTATTTGGATTGCTTATTACTTTTTATAAACCAAGAAATTAAATTATTAGCATAGTTAATGGGCTTTAATTTTTATTGATTTATATAATATTAAATGCAATACAGTATATGTTTTTAGGAGCAATTAAATGAATTTATATGGTATATAGATGATCTGTAGTGTCATGCAGGGCTGGCACCAGAGCCCGTACGGCTGTAGCAGGCAGCAAGATTTTTGTAATTTAGAAAGTGCTGGGCCTGATATCAGGTAATATAGCATATAATACAAATTTCATTAATTTTAGTATAGTAAAAATTAAAAAAAGGTACTATCTATGTATTTGTTCTACATAAAATGTTTTTTTTATTATTATTATCTCTAAGAAATATTGTTTCAGCTAATGATCAAATTCTGTCCATTATAAATAAAGATATGAATAACAAAAGCACTTTGTTGTCAATATGCACTATACAAGATCATTTATTTATCATCTCTACTATTAGCCCCTTAACTGCCGGGGAAAACACACAAGATTCATTTCCCAGTGCCATGGTTTTTCACACAGGCGCGTGTAGTTATGCGATGTATTAGGGGAAAAATAAGTGGAAGTTTTACTTTCTAAAAACTGTTTACTTTCACAAAATAAAGAATAAAAGAAAAAAATAAATGCACAAAATTTAATGTTTAGAGTAAATGTATAATAAAAAGATGTAAGTATTAAAAAAATTGTTTTTATAATAAAAAAAGATCCCTAAAATGGAATTTCGATCAATTTATTTTTAGACCAGTAAAGTGCAATATCAGGTTTCAGTGTTATACCTTGTGAAATCAGTATGCCTAAAAAACGTATATTTCTTCTGAACTGGTTGAATGCCACAATTTTGTTCTTGATTTTTTGTTTGCAAGCTTTTGGTCCATATACTTGTCTATAAAACGGTTAGTTTCAGTAAACAATATGAAGCACGAGCAGTTCAAAAAATAATTCAGAAAAGATAAATGGGTTTGAAACATCCATTATATCTTTCTTTATTCCTGGAACCTACAAAAAAGTAAACGAAAACGGAGGACACAGAATAAAAATATATATGTTTTACTCAAACAACACCAGTCAATACCGTGCAGTCATTACTTTCACTGCTTTAGACACATTCCTCTCTCCGATTTCTCCCCACACTTTCCTCCTTCGCATACTTTGTCAAGGTCATTGTGATGTTGCATTCCAAAGCTTTGCCAATAATTTTAGGGGTAGCAGCCCAAAGCAAATGATAGTATTTTGGAAGAGCGTATATGTCTGGCCGAGGCAGCTAACGCATCAGCCGAGTAAGGTGTATATATATATAAGCCCGCGGCAGTTAAGGTGTTAAATAATGAAGAATCTGTATATATGTATATTTATTTGTATATTATTCGCATTGTAGAAAAAGGACAATACCTAGATCCATCAAGAGATTTTGAATACACCTAGTCAAAATCAAATCCAATCAAACATGTGCACCTCTGAGCTCGAATTTTTATTTTCGAACTGGTTTTTCATTTATTTTATATTTTGTAGAAATTTAATGAATTTCTGGTTAATGAACTCAGTAATTTAAAAGCAAGCAATGGAAGTAGTGTTTAAAATAAAACATTTTTATCTGTAGCCAGCCAGGCTATTGCCATTTGACAAAATGCAAGATATTTATACATCAATTTTAATCAACAAACTCAAAGCATTGTATTCAAAGTACTTTGTATTCAGCATTTTTAAGATTTAATTTACCTATTTAAAGTATTTTGTATTTAACTATTTTTTTAATTTAATTTACTTATTTAAGGTATACCTAGAGCTTGTAAAGAAGTTTATATATAGCCACTGCCTTGAAATAAAATGTTTTTATCTTCCATGCTCCAGCATGCTGCTATTCAATAAAGTGTAAGTTATTTAACATTTAGATTTAATCTGTCCGTTATTAAGTAACAAATTCAGCGATTTTAGAGCAATAAATGAAGTTGTTAAGAATATTTTTTCTTCTTTTAAATCTGATTGGTTTAAATATTTTCCGGAAATACTCTACCTGGACTCATTAAAATCATTATATATATTTCTTCCCCTTTCGATAGTCAGAAAATGTTAGTGCAGTAGGGCAATACCATTTTTGTCTATGACGATGTTGTGGTGCCCCCTGCACTTTTTCCTGTCCTGTCTCCTGCTTCGAAATAACCTAATGTGTCTACATCTTCTCTGTTTATTCTTTTATCCTTTTAGCTCTCTACTTGTGTACTTTCTAGTCTATGTGCAAAATAAAATCAAATAGTGATATGAAATTCTGTATTAATGCACACGCTGCAGTCCTTTCTATGTTTTACCTCTAACTTTTTGTTAAAATTTTAATTTAAATAGCAGTATACTTTATTGATATTTTTCTCTTTGTGCCATTTTAACATTCAGAAAAGAAAAGAAAACCTTTAAAAATTTTAATTCTTTTTGTGTTGAATTTTTTTTTTTAACATATGTTTTCTTCATCCAATGTTTCTGTGTTTTCTGAGTATATAGGATGATATCCCATTGCTGTACAGGATAAAGAATCATTCACTTCAAAATAAGTTGAACTAGAATCTTTTTATTTCATAAATCTTTGAAAAATTTAAATATTTTTGGCAAAATAGCTGATATCGATACAAATTATTTTTATAGTTCTCTGTTTTTAAAGAAATGAGCAGTTTCACTCAATTATAGTTTTTAAATTTTTTTTTTCATGTTGTTTCAAACGGTAAAAAAATCTTTTGATGCTAGTCATCATTACTTCTTAAAGTTTTTAAAAAATTGAAATGAATTAGGTATTAATTTTAAAATTGTTTACAGTTTTTAATACCATATATTGGCATAAGTCCGGAATAGAGTAATAAAACCTATGAGTTAAAAACCACTAAAATGCAACAAAAACCAAATATAATTTAGCTTTTATCTGTTGTTAGTGTTGCATCATTATAGTAACTCTTTTTTCTTTACAGCTAAATTCAATTTTTTCCCATAATGTTAATTTGTAGATGCACATCAAGTTGAACTTTAGATTTTTCTTCAGTTCATGGATCTTTATGCTTGTAAAGCATACTTGCATCCCGTGAGTTAAAAATCAACTGTTTCTTCTGCTACTTCAGGTGAAGGATAATCATAGAATGATTTTTGAATAAATATCAGAATAATTTTTTTGTCTACCTACTCATTTTTATCTTGATTGTCTCTCACAGTATCTCTCAAAAAGGAGAAATTCAAAACATTCTTAATTATGATGATTTTGTGGCACGTATCAAAAAGATGAAGACCTTTTCAACATTCCTTATTGGTAACTTACAACTGTTGCTTCTTATTGTCCATTGTAGCTGATAATTAGTGCCC